TTTAGACTAACGACGTCAATAGCTGATGACGTGATGTCAATAGATACGAACGGATGATGCGACGCGTTTGTCAGCCGTGGGAAGTATTTATTGCGATTTTTCCTCGATTTTTCCTCGATTTTTCCTCGATTTTTCCACCTTCCACGTCTTTCTACCACGTTCCACTTTCCCACGCCCTCTCTTTATATCTGACTCACCCCTATTCACCCGCCACGCCTACATAGTCAATCTTCCCCACCTTATCACGTGGCGCACGAGGTGCATAATCATGCATAGCAAAGATGACGTCAACCGAGGGCTATGGGGTACGCATGTGACCCCTGGTGAGGTTGAAGTAAGTGGCGCCTTTTTTTTGAGCGCAAAAAGACAATAAGACACGTGATCAAATGACGTCTCCCGTGGTTAAAACACCTCAACTACCGGTGGCTTGCTTCGGGGGCTCAAACGGCATTTCTCGGGAGCTAATACAAAAAGGGTCATTTGATGTCATCGTTGCAGGCTTCCTTTTTAGGTCCTCTTTGGGCCGTAGGAATGGCGTTAATAGGAAGCATGATTGGTGCTTATTTCCCGCAGTCATGGGATTGTGTGGCAAAGGGGGGGGGTTTTGGGGCCGGAAAAAGCAGAAAATACGACGTGTGTGTGCGGAATTGGTTTAATACAGCCGGAAAATAGCTCACGTGACTTTATACGCCATTTTCCAAATCCCTCGCAGCCCAATCATGGCGGTGTGATTGTTTTGGTTTTCCCCAGCTATCTTAAAGTTTAATGCGTTGATAAGGCTTGTTGTGAGATAACGTGCATACGCGTCACACCCATAAATAAATCTTGCTACGCGACCCTGCTCCTTACACTTGTACACTTCTCCTCCACAGGTGGAAACAACCCCAGACTCCAAACCACTTTTCGCACACACTCTCACACTCACCAACCAACACAAACACACCATCCCACCCCACAGACACATCTCCCTCACATTTACACAAACAGGCAGCGTCACATACACCCTGCCATTGCATTGATTGCCACAAGAACACACGGCAGCCTCCCCTTCATCTTCACACCTCCCCACGCCTCTGGTATCTGACTACCAAGGTAACGCATCAGATTCACAGCCAATCTAACTCACCGCCCACGCCACCTCCAAGGTCCACATAACAATGTCCTACCTGTCGCCCTCCTCATTCTACTCCTGGCTGTCGGGATCCAAGAACAGCCAGCGTGACACTGCAGAGCAGCTCTCCACAGTCAACGGCGGCCTGGTCCCCCTGGACCCCTCCCAGCGCGTCGTCACCACTCTGGAGGACGAGGACGAGTACGCGGTGGTGGGCCTGCGCAAGCTCAGCTACGCCGAGGTCGTCCGTCTCGAGGGAGGCAAGGCAACCCCTGTGCCCCGAATCCCCAACCCCAAGGGAGCCATTGCCCAGGCTCCCGCGCCTCTGGTGACGGAGGCGTCCGTGAACCGCCGGGCGTACGAGGCGCTGGCGGACTTTTCTGACGAGGCGCTTGGAGACGCCAAGTACGACCCCATCCGCAAGTCCAACCGACGAAAGTCGTTTGCGGGCAAGTAAGCATCCTCTGCCCGATCCCCCGCCCGAGTCAGAGGCTTTCGTGCGGTGCCTGAGTGATCGCCAGCGCATCTTCCTTAGAGAGTAGCCCCCGTACTTGGAATGTATAGCAACCTCGAGTTGTATCTATGTAAGCAATACACGTAATAAACACATGCAATTGTTTCCGTAGCGGTCGCCTATCGTGAGGCCCCAGTGGAGACTGTCATGTCTCACTCTTAGTGGATTATACGGTGGTTACGAGATAATATCTGACCCTGGTCCAAGGTGGGCGTTATTTGCAAAAGTGAGACGAGAGGGTAGTTTCTTTTCCTTTTAAAGCAATTGAAACACCTCAATCGGCGTCTTTGAAGGCGTTGTTTGCAGATATCGCGTTTTGGAAACCGCCTCATGTCTTGTTTACCATACCGGTCGGTATAGCTTGCTTGCTCATCCAAGATTATACTTTGATGACCCCCCACGATACAGCTCTTATCGGGAGATTAATGTCTTAGATAGATTGGTCGAGCCGCAAAGAAACACGTGGAGAAAACGTGCGATTTAGGACTTTGGAGGATGATAAGGTGATTTGTATTATTCTGGAGGCTCGGAGATTGATTTTTGGGGGTTTGCGGGGTCTTTTCCTGGTTTAGTTGGCATGGTAAGGTTAGTTGGGCATTTGTTTGCAGATTTGCTTACTACACAGAAATCAGATCAACAGACGTCGGGAATACAGCAAAAGAAATGACTCAGTTGGGATATAGGACAAGCAAACCGTTGATATCGCGCATGGTTAGTGTCATTGGAGCTGCTTGATTTAGTTTCATTTTATTTACACCAGCTTGAGGAATAATCGTTTTAAAATACCACTGATACCATGCATTCGTTATATATATACACCTGTTATAAGCCCAAAAGTCACTGATGAGTTCTGTCTTACAAAAGATCGACGTTCTTGGGCTTGAACTTCTTGCCCGATCGGTCTGCTGTTCGGAACAGGAACCGCGATCCAATGATCTCAAACTCCATATTGCCCTCGTCCACATGCACAATGAACCGAGTTCCCGGCTTGTCGACAATCTTCAGCCCTCCCATATCTGTGTCCTTGCCTGGGTTGTCCAGTTCCATGCCCTCCAAGCTGTCCATATTCTCAAAACACTTGCCTCCCTCGCACACAATGACAAAGTTCGATTTCGCTTCCCATGCCACGATTCCTGTCAAACCGACAATAGACGGATTTCGCGCCTCGATGACTGTGATTTTCGCGCCGTTGAAGTCTGCCGACGTGAGTTTCTGTGCGTAGTTCATCTTCTTCCCCGAGTTGATATCCTTGTCGCCCTCCTTGAGCATCAGCAGATCAGAGATGTAGCCATTCCAGAGCTTGTTCAGTTTCGCGTATGTCGAGTATTTCGGAAGCTTTTGCCAGGCAGCCATCTCGTTCTTCGTTATAGTCGTCTCGCAGGACTTGGATCTGTATATCCTCTCCATGACACCCTTGACTGCCTTCTGGTGAGTTTTGGCTTCCTTCAAGAACTGCGAAAGAGCCACCCGCGGTTTGTGATCGTTCAAAAGTCGCTGTTTGCGCGTTCGTGGGGTCTTAACAACCACCTGAGGCGCCTTCCATACCTCGGCTGTGTCGGTTTTACCCTCGTTTGGCGTCAAGACCAAAATCGGCTTCTGTCCTCCTCCCATGGAGTATCGCTGTGCAAGCGTCTCATCGATGCGACTTCCTCGATAGCCTGCTTGCTTCAGCAGGCTCTCTTCGATGCTCAGTTTTTGCTTGTTGACGTTCATGGTGATGAGGAAGAAATATTTGAAATTAGATTTGCCTGCATGACGAGATCAGGGAGAACGGTGCTTAGCTAAACGTCTTTGTATTGGCCAATATTGTACTGTGACTTGCACTTGTAAAAACATGAAAGGTTTAAAAATTGCCATTTACATTAAATATGCAATTTTCAGGCTCAACACCTTTTTATTTCCATTTTAAAAAACAATTAATTCTCTCACGCCTCGCACCCTCACATGAAATCTGCACAACAAAAATAACCTCCACTCAACATCGCCATTTCCATTAAATCACGAACAATGATCCGACGAATACAGACACTCAGAGCGATAAAACGACCACAGCTATGTCTCATCAACAGACATCAGCATCGACACAACTCGACAGCATCTCTTGAGGCCATAGCATCGCAGCCTGGACCTCAGATTTTTGTCTCGGCCATTTCTGATCCGTTTCTCAACCTCGCCCTGGAGGAGTTTCTGTACGAGAGAATGCCGGCACGTGACCCGAAGGCTGAGCACGTAGAGGAAGATGCGCTTTCAAACAACAGACTGGTCGTCTATGTGAACTCTCCGTGTGTGGTTATCGGTCGAAACCAGAACCCTTGGCGTGAAGCTAACATTCCCGTTCTCGAGAGCCTGAGAATTCCGATGATTCGACGAAAATCTGGAGGTGGAACTGTTGTGCATGATTTGGGAAACGTGAACTACTGCTTTATGACGAGCAATGAAGACTTCTCGCGGGAGAAACACTCGAAGATGATCATGGAGGGTGTCAATGCAGTTGGAGAGGTCCCTGGAGGTCCTAATGTGGAGCTGAAGCTCAACGCGCGATTCGACATTGTTGATGTGGGCGACAATAAGGTGTCTGGATCAGCATACAAGATCCAGAGACTGAAGGCTTACCACCATGGAACCATGCTGCTGAACTCTAGACTGGATATCCTCAAGGCACTGTTGCATCGTGGAGAGAACCTTGGTGTCATCGAGGGCAATGGAACAGCATCTGTGAAGTCGCCAGTCACAAACATCGGTATGGACAAGAACCTCTTCATCGAGACAGTCATCAAGGGCTTTTCTGGACTGTACGGTGTGGATTTCGAGGATGGAAGCGAGCCTTTTGTGCAGCTCAACATCATTCAGCAGTCTGATCTTCCCCAGGAAGTGTATGATACCGCTGAGGAAATGAAGACTTTCCAGTGGGCATATGGCCAGACTCCCAAGTTCACCCATGTGATCAAAAACGACGATATGGACGTCGAGGTCGAGTTTTACGTGGAGAAGGGAATTTTGAAGGATGTTAAGGCTGATCCAGACCATCTCGAGCAGTTCAGATATCTCAAGAGTGTTGCCCAAAATGAGGGTGTGGAATACACTGGAGGAAAGCTCGCGTCATTTGTGACCGATGAGAAGCTGGGAGATTGGATAGCAAAGACGATCGATGGAAGCGGCAAGGAGGAGGAAGAAACCGTCTTGGTGGGAAAAAAAGAGCCGTCTTTGATGTCCCGTTTGCAGGCCAGCTAATTTAACATATACTCATAGATAATAGACCTCATAGTCCGCAGACAGAACCAGAACGAATAAATAAAAGAGAAGAGATAATGGGGCGGAAATGTGCTCTTCCACCTCACATATAGTCCCTTAAACAACGTGCAAAAAAAAGGAAATTGCCCACTACCAGAATTGAACTAGTGGCCTTTGCATTACGAGTGCAACGCTCTACCCCTGAGCTAAGAGGGCAAGTTTCGTGTTCTCAAACCTTGTTTTTCCAATTTGGCACTAAGGGAAAATTTGGTCACGTGAATAAAACCTTAAAATCAAATTGTTGATTTGAATGCCAAAATGGGGGAATAATGGAATAAAAGTAAACGGAAATTATTAATATTATTGGGAATTTTCGGCTTATGTGCTCAAATATCACTATGAGCTCTCATACAGCCATTTATTCGTGATTCAATTTTTGAGATTTTCAAACCTTATTTCCGTTTTTCGAAATTCATCAGAAAGTGATGTTTGTCAGTGTAAACGTTGACAGATACCTAAGAAATTTTAAGAGTCGCATGTTTGAGACCCCAATTTTACTATAGTATAACTACAAGCAGTTAATATAGCCGCAAGCACAGCTACCGAATTTCTGTTTATTTTACAAGGATTAATTTGATTTAAAATAAATTAAGAATAAATAGCTGCATAAATGACAAATAATGCTACCAACGAATAGTCAACTACAGGACTACGGAATTCAGTACATGTTCCACGCACCAAACAAATGACACCTACGCCGTAATCGGTACTTATATTTACAACGTCTACATGTTGAGATGACCTCAGCAGCACACTGTACCGTGACGCAAGCCCTTTTAACCATCCTGAGATCCACTTAGTCAAGCGATCTCCACTTCCACTCACCCCAGGTGTACACCATGTGTCCGAATTCGTCCTTGTCGTCCACCTCGCCTCCTCTGACTCTATCAAAGCCAGCTTCATCCAGCAGCTTCCAGAGCTGAGCTCGCACCTCATCGAACTTGCGTCTAAGAGGAACACAGATAATGGCTCTTGCGTCAGCCTTCTTTTCCAGAAACTCTTCCAGCATGTCTCTGATCCACGGAGGGTGGTTTTCCGAGTATACTGGGTCAGCGAGCACGACAGTAGTGTACTTGTTTGGCGTAGTATCGTCCTCCAGAAACGATTTCGGCTGTGTCCAGTCAAGAGTTCGCGTCTTGAAGTTCTCGATTTTGTTCTCCGAGAAATTGGTCTCCAGGTTTCCGACAATCTCAGGCAGATCAGTCGCGATAGTGGGATGACCGAGAAGAGCTGTAGCAATGCCACAGAGACCTGTTCCGGATCCAAGTTCAAGAACCGTGCCCTTCAACAGGTCGGGATTCGCCACAAAGATCTGGGACAGCACGAAACTGGATCCCCACGTCTTGAGACCCAAAAAGTCGCCTGTGAGAGGAGGCTCGACGAGAGAAATCGTAGGGAGGCCGTCGATCACAATTTTCCGCAGCATTTTCGGGTTTGCTGTTCTCCCCGAGCGCTCGGCTATTCTGAGAGCGGCTTTTTGCCAGATTTCGTCGCGCTGGTCTTCGTTTTCGATCCACGCCAAAGGAGATCCGCATAACGAAGTCAGCCACTGGTAAAAGTTGTATGGGTCGTTTGAGACGCCGCTTTCAAAGTTGTGAATCACATTTTGGCTGTGTCTGTCGAGCAGCGCAATGAGCTCGTCGGCAGGAGGCTTGGTGTACAGTTGCGGAGGGTCTGGTTCTGCCATGGCGTTTAAAAAAGAGTTGGATTCGATAGTGAAATATTTAGTGTTCAAGTATGCCTCCTGGACGTGCCAGGAACTTAAGCGGGGGAGGACTGGATTTCTAATGCCCTCAGAATGCTGTTTCGGGGGCGCTTTAGGGGTAATATTCTCAGGGGCGGCTAATAATTGTCAGTTAAAGCCTCTTTGCTTTTTCTGGAGTTGCTGTCTGATACAGTGCTGAAGGCAGGGGCGGAAGGTGTGCTTAGATGCTACTTGGGAATTAGTTGGGCTAGTTGAAGGGATTAGTTAGCCTGACGAAAGGAGAACCATCAGACCACTGGGCATTGAGAAGACGGACAGCTTTCGGACCTTTCGCATTCGATACGACCAGATAAGACCACTATGCACTCAAAATCTTTGCGGAAAGACGTTCGCAAAAGGTCCGATACCAGATAAGACACTGGGTGAAACGGGAATGATCGACGGACCTGATATACTTCTCTGGACAGGGGGAGAGACAATTGTGGCGACCGGAACGAGCGGTCTCTAAGTTCGCAGCTTGTCCATATTCTTGCACGTATATCTGGACTTGCTGTTTGGACCTTCTATTAATAGGGGTTGCTGTGGACTCACTGCAAGGCAACTACAGGAAAAGCAGGAGACATACAATAGTCGGAGACGTATAATCAGCGACATTGCGAAGAGTCAACGACAGAAGAGGCTCTTAGTCAACGACAGAAAGAGACTCTTCCATCTTGCATGTGGCTTTAGTCTATGCCAGTGTATGCTGTCTACCAGACTATCCGGTCTATAGAGGCTAGCCTAGAGAGGCCATATTAGGCCCTGCCAGTCCATACAAGCCATTGGCAGCTATGATGACGTATTTAAGCTGCTCCACGGCCATATCTCCCACACCTTCCTCCACGCCGTATCTCCTATCGGCACTGAAGCCAACTTTCCTATCTGCCTATCTCCACACCACCACACCAGTCTTTCTCGGCTCACATATGCCACAAATAGCCCAGGCAAACGGCTCATAGCTCGTGTAGCCGGCCCAAGCTCCGTGCTCGCTTTGGATCCGTTTTTTGGGCCATTTTGGAGCCCTTCCGGCCTGGACGCTTGTCTCAGGTGTATCCAAACCTGCCGCACACAATGCCGTCTGCTGTCACTCACCGTTCCTGCGGGCACCTTTGTCCGGTCCTAAGACCTGAGGTCCACGCCCCAGGCTAACGCAACGGTCCAAAAAACCGGAGGGCGTGTGCAGTCACCGGACACACTATAAACCTTTTTGCTGCAGTTAGCTGGGGTAGCCAAGGCAAAAAGTAAGTGTTGAGAGGCGGCAAAGCGCGGACTAGGAGGCCTATATAAGCACTTTTTGAGCGCTCCGGTTACACAGAAAGGGTCGCAGGGCGTCTATAAAGCCTTGCAGAGGCCCCCAAACCGGCTAGAGCGCCCAATGTCACATCCATAAGGTTCGGTGGCGCGGAACAAGAGAGCGCTTTCTGGCAGCGATTAATTGCACAAGCCAACTTTGTGAGTTTGTGACCAAGCCCGAAGGCTCACTCTTACTTTTATTATATATTAGGTATATCCACATGGTAAGCGCAACCAGCAACCAGGGCATATAGGACGGGTGCAGTCAAAGGTTTTCTTTCTCCACCCGACCACTCTCCGCGACTCTGAGCACAGAACCACGACCACCACAGACACAATCTCCGCCACAATCACAACCACTACAAATCACCATGGGCTTCGTGTGCTCGCACTACTTCGATGAGCCATGCATTTACTGCTGCATCTCGTGCAAGTCCCATCTCAGCCGCAATGACGACCTGGAGAGCAAGGTGAGTATGGAGGGTTTTGGGGTGTTTCGGGGTGTCTGTGCGGAGTTGTGGTCAGTTCGGGAGCTCAGAGGGTTCTTATACTCGCTGTCAGCTCACTACGCTCCACATGTGCTGCCCAACGCAATCGTGCACAATCGGAAATTAGGTTGCGAGTGCGCTCAGTGGCGAATCACGTGGCGCAATTAGCGGACAGCTCCAGGCAAATGACACAAACTCGAACTGCTGTCACCTTGCCTGTGCTAGCACCCCGGTCACGTGCTGTCTCACCCTGTGTAGCAGTTGGCCCCATTGAGCCAAGCGAATGGGGAGGAAACTCTAACCTAGGACCCAGTCGCCCAGGCAACGCGACAAGAAACTAACGCAGGAGTTCAAGGGCAAATTCGGCGACGCCTTTCTGTTTGACCAGGTGGTCAACGTCAAGAAGGCCGAGCCCGTGCTCAAAAACATGATCACGGGCCAGTACATTGTCCAGGACATCACGTGCGCGCAGTGCGGCTCGGATGTCGGCTGGACCTACGTCAAGAGCCTCAAGGAGACGGAGCGCTACAAGGAGGGCAAGTTCATCTTGGAGGTGGAGAAAATCTGTCTTTCCAAGCGTGACGGCTTTGTGCGCGACCCTCCTACGGTCAAGACGTCTCGAGGCGTGCAGTCCGTGTGGACCACCACAGTTTCTCGTGAGCGGCAGAGATTGTGACCTCTTGAGGGTTTTCGCCCTGCTTTAGGGATTTTTTATTTATAGACTAATGGATGGTATTTGAAACAGCAACGTGTGACCGCGGCACTGCTTGAGTGTCTCACTATCGTCTTTGTAGGAACTGTACAGTAGCTGGATTGCTCATCCCTGCTGGTCCCCTTTTTCTAGATAGACTTTGGCTTATCTACTATCAGAGTTTGAGGAGAGGTTGAGGAACTAGAGAGGTTTTTTTTCTTAGAGATAAGGGGGTGTATTTGGACTTGTACAAGTGGATTTCAGTTGGTTCGAAAGTAGTCATTCACGAGTTTTGTAATTCTATCGACTGTCCTATACTCTTACATACACTACTGGTACGCCAGATACCTGCAGGAAAAATATATGGACTTGTACAAGTTCTTGTATTTGAGAAGGGATAAGGAAGTGTAGATTTGGTTTCTGTTTGTTAAATCAGAAATGTTTGATTCACTACATTGCTGTTTGGTACAGTTCCCCATCATTGGAATCATCTCGATAGACATACAATGTATGAGACTGGTTTGGAAGAGATAAGAGGGTGTCGATTTAAGCAGATTTCAGATCCTTATCATTGGTACTTCGTACTTTATGCCATAAACCAGGTACGGTACTTTATGCCACAAACTACGCATAGATTATCGGCAAAAACCATGTAAAAGCACCCACCCTAACAAATGGATATCAAATAATATATCATCTTAAAGCCTTAAACGAGACGAATCGTTTGAATCAGACATCAAGTGTCTGGCTCCGTCTAGCTACCTTTCAAATTTCTTCTAAAACGTGAATCCATAGATAAAGATCCGTTTTCATTGATTCCAATGATTGTGGGATATAATTGTGAAGCTATGAATGAGTAAAATCTCCTGGCAATACTCACGCATTCTCATAGCCAATATTGCGCTCTATGGACAACTTTCTAGCCGCATAGAGTATCGGC